CAGATGAGCACAAAAGCTTCCCAGCTCTCCTTAATTACTTGCTTGGCTCTAACAACCAACATGAGGATGAAGCCAACAGAATCCCACTCCTTTCAGATTTGGATTAATAAGCCTCTACAAGTTCCTGCTGGTTATCCAAGGCCGAGGATAAAGATATGATTTACATCTTGGCAATTCTCCCCTTCATGCTCCATCCCTCTGCCTCCACCCAGCCCAGAAGGAACCTGCAGAGCCCTAGGCAGTGACAGTCCCTCTGGGAGCCCTGCAAGGATTTAACGGTTGGAATCGATGATCTTAACAGTGTTTTCCAACATAAATGATTCTGTGATTTGTGGTTTTGGAGGTTCAAGGCAAACAGAGGCTTTCACTGCTGTCTCTGGAAACAACTGTCATTTTCTGTTTTTGGATGAAGTTAGGACAACAAAAATCTGTCTCCTCACAGAATCTGGCATGACTCACTCCAACCCCTTGAACAGATCACAATAATATTATCACTAACTGAAACTGGAACAAAACTAAGGAATTAGGACAAAGCAAAGAGCTGGAATAAGGGTGGGAGATACCCACGGGGCACTTTGGGACATGGTTTTAAAACTGGCGATGGGTTTTGCCTCATGGAATGTTCACGCGGAATCTACTCTGGCCCTGTACCCTGCTTGGCATCACCTTTTCCATCCGGATTCGGTCTCCACATTCAGCTTCCAGCACGTTGTCCATCATGATCAAGTCTTCACTGGTGATTTTCCACTGCTTGCTGGCAAAGTGGACGACAGCGAAGAGCCGACCGTACTGCCCAGCAGCAATCATCCCATTCACCTTCTGCACCACTTCTGCTGGCAAACAGCAAGGAGGATCAGGACAGGACACACAGAGAGGTGGGGAGAGCTGGTAAAACTATCTCAGCTCAGTGCTCTCCCCTCAGAACTCTTCTGTCCTGGGAATCTTTAAGGAAGGATCAACAGCAATGTTGTTTCCTAGACCTGTGACCTTCCCGTTCTTAAAATGAATGCACTATTTGTATCTCAGGTGCTGGCAAACCCACATGGAAGTAAACAACTAGTACATACACTGTGTAGCTGCTCTACACTGCTGACTCTCAGCCTATTCCTCAGGCATCCCAAAACACACTGTATCCAGATATAAAATGCTCCAGTTCTTGTCCATGCATCTTGCATTTGGAGGATTTCCTCCAAATTCTCTCCATCTCCAAGTCATATGCAGACAGCCCAAGACTCTGAAGAGTGCCTAAGGCATGCAGGAGCATCAGGAAGAGCTTGGCAAAGCACCAGGAAAAAGGGCTCCAAAAGGAAAACAGAACCTGGCCTGAAAACGTGTACCTGCTGCAGAGACCTGTCCCTTGCTCTTTTCCATAAAAATCTTTTCCCAGGTGCACACAGAGTGGTGCCAGGAGCAGGACAGATCCCAGGGACCATTCTCTGTGATCAGCACCCTGGGCAGTGAATCCAAACCCAGTCTTTCTGAGAACATCAAAAGGTTCTGCCCAATGACACCATCTCACTGCCAAACAGCAGCTTCCCATCCTCCTGAGCTGCTCAGGAAAACAGATTTTCCTCATTGTCCTAAGAAGTGGCTGAACCTTTTTTTTTTTTTCTTGGAATGTAAACAAAACATCCCTTTGGGACAGCTAGGAATCCAGCAGGCAGGCAAACCAAACCCAGTCCTTACAGGAACACTTGGAAAGTTTCAAGCCAGAGGATACAAACTGTTAAGGCAGAGGTACGGACACAAATTATTTGCAAGGCAGTAGCTGCTGCAGCTCCCATCAGGATAAAGACTTGTTGATAACTTTTCCAAAACCTCCAGTACCAGGAAATAGCAAGTGATTGCTGGCTTGGATCTCGGCACCATGCGGAGAGACCCTTCCTAAAATATCTATGGCTGTTTCCACAGCCAGCAGGAAATTAAAGGCAGAATTGAAATGCTATCACTGCTGTTCCCTTTGGATAAGCACAGCCAGGAGATAGCAATGCAAAGCTCATCACCAGCAGGAGGGATCCCATGGGAGTATCCATCAGGATGGGACACTGCTCCTCACAAGGCTCCAAGCTGAGTAGTTTATGGTTCACTACTGAGTCAAACCACATGCAGGGAGAGACACTCATCTGCCACTTCAGCAATCCCAGGAGTGCAGGGGAGATAAAAAGGAGGACGAAAACAGCCTGGGAGGAGACCTGGAGCAGGAAGCTCTCTCCAAAGCACATCCTTCACAGTAACACACTTCAACCAGGTGATGGAGACTATCTGCCAAAAGATTAACTCAGCACTTCTCTCACTCTCTCCTTGTAAAGGAGCTCCTCTCCTTCACTTCCCAGGTCTCTCCCAGGAAACCAGATGAGTCAGGTGTCTTTCACACGTGTCTCAAAGGTTAACATGAGCAGCTCTGGAAACATCACTCACTGATGGGGAGGCCAACCCTGTCCAGTCCCTATACTCCTTTTGTGAGCATCACTGAATCCCGCGATCATCTAGGTTGGAAAAGACCTCCAAGTCCAGCCTTTGACCAATCTCCACCTTATCAACTAGACTAGAGCACTAAGTGTCACATCCAGTCGTTGAATGACTCCAGGGATGGTGACTCCATCACCTCCCTGGACAGCTCCTTCCAATGCCTGACCACCCTTTCCATGAAGAAATTCTTCCCGATGTCCAAGCTAAATGTACCCTGGCACAGCTTGAGGCTGTGCTGTCTCATCCTGTCTCTTCACTCAGTCCTTGACTAGCTGTGGGGACAGGACACAATCACCAACATTACATCACTCTCTGCCTTATGTCTCACCTCTGCAGGTCTGTCCTGTGCCCACAATCCAACTGCTCCTGCTGGCTGGATGTGCTGTTTCCTGCACCAAAATATACCAGCTCTCCATGTGCCCACCATCCAACTGCTCCTGCTGGCTTTGATTTAGCCAGTCAATGAAAAATAACTGGATTTTGTGTCCAAAAGGCTTGTTTCATGCTTCATTCTTTTCTTATTTATTGTGCCATGTTTCATGCCAGACATCACATCAGATAAAATTCCTCTGGGAGCATAACAAGCTGTTCTAAACTGAAAAGAAGTCATATTGTACCCAAATCTCCCAAACCATAAGCTGAAGCAAAGTCCAGTGACACTAAAGAATGTGAGAAATGAGACAAAAGAAGTGAAGAACACAAACTAGCTCCAACTGAAGATGTCTATGTTCAATTGAGGCAATGCTGAAGGACTAGACTTGAGACCTTTACCTGCATGATACTTGGCTTCTTCCACTGGGTCTGGAAGTTTCACTTCAGGCCATGGAGGTGAAGACAGAGATGTTTTGGCAACAAGTCTGCAAACAACAAGGAAAGATTCACTGCAGCAAACAGATATTGCCAAGAGAGGGAACAGTACATCCTGCCATTCCCCCACGCAGGAATTCTGTGCTCCTGCAGTGTCCCCTCCTGGTCACAGCCAGCAGCTGCCTAATCTCACACATCATGGAATGAATCATGGAATCCCAGGGTGGTTTGGGTTGGAAGGGACCTTAAAGATCATCCTGTTCCATACACAGGGACATTTTCCACTAGCCTAGGTTGCTCCAAGCCCCATCCAACCTGACCTTAGGCATTTCTAGGGATGGGGCAAAAAACCACATAATCAAGGGAAGCCTCCTTCCCAAAGGAAAACCAGCTGCCCTTCCCACACCACGGAGGCAGGTCAGCATTCCAGGGGGGAAAAGGCAAAGTGACATTACCCTTGCTGTGGTGATGTGCTCTGGGAACTCTGGTGCCGAACTGCAGCTGAAAGCAAGGCTGAAAGAGATAAAGGGACAGGAATTAAAAACAGGCAGTAGCTGCTGGGCTTTCACAGAATCCCAGAATCATTTAGGTTGGAAAAGACCTCCAAGACCATCAAGTCCAACTGTGACCAATCACCACAGGGCACCCGAAACCTCAGCTCTTCTGCCACAGCAAACATCCTGCAACTTCCCATCCCAGCCAGGGAGGAGGAGGCTGATGGAGTCCCTACTCCCTCCCATCCCCTGGATTTTGCTGAAGGGTTTATACCAGCCTGCAAAAAACTGTGTAAAGTTGATTCCCCTTTTTGCTAAGGTCCATCCCAGCTTTCAGGCTGCTCTGAGGCTGATGCTGGGAACAACCTGAGTCCCTTCCACCTCCACAGCTTTCCCCTATGCGAGAGCTCCATGGCTCACACACTGGGTCCATGGCAGGGATACACTGGGGCCAGGAGCTGCCTGGGGACAGCAGCACCTGCCCCATGTGGGGCAGCTGTGGGGACTCCTTTCTTCCTTCCCAGTAACAGGCAGAGCATCTTCCTTTCCTTCCTTCCCAGCAGCAGGCAGAGCATCTGTCTTTCCTTCTTTCCTTTCCAGCAGCAGGAAGAGCATCTTCCTTCCCTCCATCCATCCCAGTAGCAAGCAAAGCATCTTCCTTCATTCCTTCCTTCTTTCCTTTCATCCCAGCAGCAGGCAAAGCATATTCCTTCTTTCCCTCCATCCCAGCAGCAGGCAGAGCTCCTTCCTTCCTTCTTTCTTTCCTTCCTTCCTAGCAGCAGGCAGAGCATCTGCCTTTCCTTCTTTCCTTTCCAGCAGCAGGCAGAGCTCCTTCCTTCCTTCCACCCCAGCAGCAGATAAAGCACATTCCTTCTTTCCCTCCATCCCAGCAGCAGGCAGAGCTCCTTCCTTCTTTCCTTCTTCCCTTCCTTCCTTCCATCCCAGCTGCAGATAGAGCATCTTCCTTCCTCCCTCCCTCCCTCC